AAAATAAAATAGAGATTGTGTACGTTGTTTCCCCTGGAATAATATCGGTTAGCAATGAAGTTGCAGCACGTGTGAGAGAGGATACATACATGTGTGAGAGACACAGGGCTCAGAAGTTGAAATATGTAGAAAAAAAGACGTTCGTGCAACAATTTCTTCGAAGTTAGGTAAACGAGAAGATTGATTTGCACATTTGTTGAATTTGCTATTCAAGCATCCATAGGTAACAAAATTAATTTCTCTTATAAGGACAATTCTATAAAATATTGTCGAAGTTAATAGTCGTTTCCACCGGTTATACAGGATTCTATATGTAGGGACCATTTTTCCACTCATTAGATGTCAAATTGGATGGCTTGAATCATGTTATAAGAAATAAAAAAAACAAACGGATATTGAAAAGGTGTGGCTTGTATTAGGCTGAGGCCCTAAACAATCAAAAGCACGCCTTCAAAAGATGTTGTTTCAGTAGTGAAAATCTTTGTGATGACTTGAAAATTTATTGTCATCTCTAATTATAAATTTAAAGCTTCAAGAATAGCATAGATCTAGCAAATCTTTAAACGCATGAAAATCTTAGTAATTCACGGTCTAGAAAACACATTATATGATGTGTTATTTCCAATATTTGAAATCCATTTTTTCTCATATCTATACATCTTGAGGTTGAGATGATCAATTTGAAGAATTTTGACATCAACACTGCCTCTTCTAATGAAGTTTTGAGGTGCACCTTTAATTGGATTGTTTAGAGACTCACCTTTATAAAAACTTCTTTCATTTAAAATGACCAAACATTCTCTATTAGTTTTTTAAAGGACACGGTTAGCATGCGGCCAAGGTTGCACATGTAGAAATGCAAGCTTGGCAATAAATATATATTTTAAATATAATTTGATCCTAATTTTTAGAGGATATATAATTGTTAACTAGAGATCATGAATATGAAAAACTATAAAAATAAAATTTGAAAACTAGAAATAAAAATTATAGTAAGAAAACATTTAGACCGTTAGGTAAAATTGTTTTTAGATGGCCACCAATTTGCATCCATCTTTAAGATGGATACTTTATACCTCTGGATAGCATAGTGTAGAAATGCAGTCCAGCCCGCATGAAACAATTGCTTTTTTTGAAATGAATGGATAATAAACATTGCATATTTCATGGTACTTGTATCATAGTTGTTTTCAACTGGGTTTAGCATTGGCCCTTAGTTTTGCAAAGGATGAAGTTCTTCTTTTCTTCTAGGGTTGGTCGAAGAAATGATGGGCCTTCATAAGTAAAAGGAGACCATCCAATGTCCATCCATTTAAGCATGAAAGAAAAAGGACTCTAATCTATGATACTTGTAGTATACTCAGTTTTTCGTGTTTAAACCCCAGTAGGATGGCCCGCTTGATCACTCGGTGGACTGATCTGGATCAGATTGGCCAAGCTTTTGAAGGTAAATTTATATAGAAATTATAAAAGAGACCAATGGGAACGGGACGAGTCTGGATTCTAAAACTGGTTATACACATTCCAATGATAATGAAACGTGCCGCACAGTATGCCACACAGTATAATGCACTTTTTTTATTCTCTTTTTGTGTACTCGTGTCATTGCCCATTGTGTGTGGTCTGCACGATGTCGAGGCCCAATAGTTCGAGGGGGATAATATTCTCCTATGTTGGTCCCCTTGGCACGTCTAGAGCCAATCATGCGGCCCTAGTTTCGTTATTGTAAAATTTAAAAATTTTCATCTTTGAAAATCTCGGTTCTAGATGTATTACTTAAGGTGATTCCTTAAATGTGATTGGTTAGTGCTTGAAGGAGCGGCATATCCCATGGAAGTTTCGATTTTTTTTATTGGAAATTTTGGACCTCTCGGCCTTCCTTTAGGTTTCTTTCTCTTATCATGAGGCTAACTCTTTGGTTGATTCCCTTGTCAAAGGCAGGGCCTCGTTGCCTTCTTTGTTGATTTCGATTGATGTAATCTCCTTTGTTTATTTGCATCAATAAAATTTTGGAGCCTTTGCCCAAAAAACAAAAAGAGAGGCTCTAAAAAACTGAAAGTAGACTATATTTCTAAAAAGTGGCGAAAGATAGTTTTTCAGTGGTAAAAATATTTTGATGGATGAAATTTTATTTTCACGTCTAATTATAAAATTTAAAGCTTTAAAATAATATAGATCGAGCAGTTCTATAAACATTTAAAAATATTGAAAAATTGACACTGCATATAATATATAAGGTGCAATGTTTCCAAGATTCAAAATCTTTTTTTATTTTTCACATTATACATCTCAAGGTCGGGATGATTCATTTGAGGGTTTTTCAACATCAAAACATCTTTTGGTAAATTTTTTAGGGCAGACTTAATTTAATTGTTTAGGTCCCCAACCTTGTATAAACTTTTTTTTTTATCTTCCTATGTTTCATTTTCGAGTAATGATCTTATAGGATTTTGTCGTACCTAATAGCATGATACCCCAAGAAATCACCATTGAATTTCCTAGCAAATCTCAAAATATCCCTCCTCTCTTGTTTTTAAAAAGTGTACTTTTCTTTTAAAAGTAACTCTCTCTTTCTATCTCTCCTCATTTGTACTCTTTTTCTTTTTTACTCTCTCTCTCCTTTCACTCTAGCCTCCCTATCGCTCTTTCTTCCCCTTAGGGGCCACGCCATATGCTTTCACTCCCCCCCTCTCCTTCATTCTCTTTGCTAAAATTGGATATGTTGATATCGTTCAAGAATAGAATAAATATCGAAGATTATAAATCATAAATAACTCAAGATTCCTTTGGCTAATAAATCAAAGAGCAAGTTTCAGAATAAGGAAGAACTTTTATCCAAGTTATGATGAATTCAAAAAGTACACTTTAGTTTAAAGTTTCTTCTTAATATAACTGTCCAAGTTTTAATTGTTTTTCAAGAATATCACTACTTCAAAATTTTTACTATTTATTTCCAGAAATGCTTATTTGGTAGTTTCTTTAAATTTTCGGAACATGTCTCTCTCTACCTAAGTGATGTCTGCCCAATGCCAAGTCCCGTTCCTCTCCACATCTAAACAAAAATGGCAACCACTCGTATGCGTTCATGCTGAATGGGTCGGAAAGCTCGACCCCATTGAGGAAGTGGTGGAACCTGGGCATACACATGTGCTGCCGACATAGGCCGCATCTACATGGAGCCAAGTACCAAAGTCCCTCGCAACCCTACCGAAGCCCTCCAGGCGGTCAACATCGGTGGAGGAGGTGGTTCCCATTAATGCACATGCGCATAGGGGTACGAGCCCCACAGCCACATCTTCTTCTATAGCCCTAAGTAGGGCGGT